GGTGGGGTGGGAACTGGGTGGAGGGGAGCTATGGGGGGGAAAAAGAGGAACAACTGTAATAATCTGAACAATAAAGATTTAATTAAAAAAATATTCTATTGTGTTGTCATTTTCATTTGTCTCTATGTATTTTTTTATTTATTTTTTGACCCAGCAGTTGTTCAATAGTATGTTGTTTTATTTCCACTTAGTTGTGGTTCTTCCTGTAGTTAATTTCTGTTTCCTACTGTTGTGGTGAGAAAATATGCTTGCTGTTATTTTAATCTTCTTAAATTTATTAAGGCTAGTTTTGTGCCCCAACATGAGAGAGATTTGTCTTCTGGGATTATGTAATCTCGGGCTTGAGAGGAACCAGAAGCATTTTCAAAATGACCAGTTTCCAGGGCTTGCATTGGCTCCACCCTCCTAACCAGTGATCTTTTGCCTGACTGACAGGCCTCTATAGTCCAGCACCTCCCCCTGCACACGTTCTTATCTTCCCCCTCCCCGCAACACACAATGCAGTATCTGAGCGGGGAAGGGAGGGTGTTAATCTAGAGCAGTGGTCGGCAAACTCATTAGTCAACAGAGCCAAATATCAACAGTACAACGATTGAAATTTCTTTTGAGAGCCAAATTTTTTAAACTTAAACTATATAGGTAGGTTCATTGTTATTAACTTAATTAGGGTACTCCTAAGGCTTAGGAAGAGCCATACTCAAGGGGCCAAAGAGTCGCATGTGGTTTGAGAGCCGCAGTTTGCCAACCAAGGTTCTATCTAGAGGGACAATGCTGTGATTCCCTAGGGTGTGAAGCTGTAGTTTCCTGGTGAAACAAACAGGCCTTTGCTTCCCAGCTGAGTGTGCTCAACAATGTCTGCCCTTTTGTTTCCTTTCCCATCAATAATTAGCTAACTCTGGTAACATTTTTAGCTGAGATGGGTCTTTTAAAGATAGTATATAGTTACATCTTGTTTTTTAATACATCCCACTACTACGTGCCTTTTGATTGGTGAATTCAGTCCATTTACATTTAGGGCGATTATTAATACATGAAGACTTATCACAGCCATCTTATCTCTCTCTCTCTCTCTCTTTTTTTTTTAATTTCTGGTTGCTATGTATCTCCACTGTTTGTTTTTTCCCTTGTGTTTTTGTCTGCTATTTTAGTTTGGTGGTAGTCTATCATTTTTTCCTCCATTTCTTTTATGTTATGTGTCTTTGTTCTAGATTTGTTTTGTTCTAAATTTGTTTTGTGGTTACCATTAGTTTTATGTAACAGAAAGTTTATACATACAATACTCCTTTTTCATCTGAATGTACTTTATCTCCAGTCACCTGTGCAAATTCAGTCCTTTTCTACTCCTTTTAGGTTTTTGTTATCACAAATTATCCCTTTTTGTGATGTGTGTTCATTTCCAAATTGTAGAAGCTATAGTATTTTTTAAATGCTTTCACTCCCTTTAACCTTTATGTTATAATTGTTTAATACTCTATTCTGAAATAGAGTTGCAATTTCCTGCTTTATCATACAGTTTTGTATTCTTTTGTTGTTTCAAATAAAAAGAGCTGCTTTCTGCATTTTTTGTAATGCAGGTCTTGTGGTGGTAAATTTTCTCAGCCTTTATTTCTCCTTCATATCTAAAGCATCACTTTGCTGGGTATTATTATTATTGACTATTGATTTCTCTCTTTAAATACTGACATATTTGATTTCACTTTTTCCTAGCTTGTAAGGTTTCTGCTGAAAAATTCAATGATAATCCATTGGGGTTTCCTTCATAGGTTACAGTCACGCCTCCTCACCCACACGGTTGCCTTGAGAATTCTTTGTCATTAACTTTTGACAGTTATATGTCTTGGAGAAGGTAAGGTCTCTTTGCATTCAGGTAATTAGGTGTTCTGTGAGCTTCTTGGATTCAAGGTTCCAGCTCTTTCCAGTGGTTTAGGAAGTTCTTGTCAATTATTTGTTTGAATAGGCTCTCTGTTCCCCTTTTCTTTGGTATACCCTTTCTTATATTGCTCTTTCTAATGGAGTCAGTGCTGCGCTATCTGAGGTGTCCCAGCTGCCTCCACCAGCCTCTGCCATAATGAGTGGGGAAAGAGGTGGGTTCACATGCTGCAGCTTTGTTTTTTCCACTGGGATCAGCTGCAGTGTGCATTGGCAGCTTGGCTGAAGTTTTCTGTCCCTCCAGCCCTCTCCAGGCTTCTGAGTGAGGGCCACAACTCAATACCTCCAGTGCTACCTCATCACCTGGTGCCAGGTGAGTGATGGGAGACAGGTTTGTCTGTCTGCGTTTTTTTTTCCTCTGGTAATGGCAGCTGCCAGATCTGTTAACCACAATGTGTACTAGCCACTCAGGCAGAATGCTGCCTCTGCCCCTCCCTGGGCTGCTGAGTGAGTGAGGGCTTCCCCCTGACCCTTCATTGCTACTGCATCAGCTGGGGCCATGGTGAATCCAGGACTGTATCTGTAGCACCCAACTTTATCCTTTCTCCCTGCTTACTTCAACACACCCACCTTTAGATGTCTCAGTGTGCGGATCTCTCAGATGTGTTTGTGTGTTGAGCATGGAATCATTTGTTGAATTATAGTTGTCCAACTTGTTGCTACTACCTCAAGGGGAGAAACCTAGAGGTCTTACTCTACCATAATGCTGACATTACTCCAGTATTTTTATTTTTAACTAGAGGCCCGGTGCACAAATTCGTGCATGGGTGGGGTCCGGCCAGCCTGCCCCAATGGGGGCTGATAGGGCTGGGCTGGCAGCGGGGAGGGGCCGCGGGTGGTTGGCCGGCTGCGGCCCTGCCTCCAATCAGAGTGGGGGCATTGATCAGGGTTGGGGCCTGCTAGGGAGGGTGGGGGCACCCACGATCGGGCCAGTTGGCTGGCCACAGTGCATGTCATAGTGACCGGTCGTTCCGGTCACTTGACTTTTATATATATATATTTGCAGATAAAAAAATAATTATTTTGGTTAGTATCATACATTTTAGTTGCCTAATTTTTTTCCCTGTCAGTATTACATTTGGGAACTCTATCACACCTGTAAGCAGAAGTAATTAACTATATTTATACTTTTTGTGTTAAAAGATATTAAGCTGCTATAATATGTAATATATATATAATATCTCAATCCTAATTTGGTGTGGAAGTATATTAACAAATTTCTGATTTATTGTTCCTAAAGGTCCTGTGAATTAGATAAGCCTCGTATTATAATTCTCATTATAAAGTAAATAAACAAGCATGGCAAGAGTCATTAATTGTTCTCAAAGTCAAATAACCTATACAATGTTAAGATGGAATCTTTTGACTTTTATAACACTTTTTCAAAGTTTCCAAAACCTGTCTTACTAGAAGATGTAAAAGAACTCTGTGTAACATAGCAAAACATCTAGTATCCTGGAACTTTTAATTTGTTGTGAGGAAGGCAGTGAGATGGGAGTGGAAAGAACTAGATTCAGAGTAAGCAGATGACTTGCCAACCAGATTCAATCTAAGCAATAAAACAACATGTAACTTATATAAAATGAGCAAAACAGCACCCATACATTTAGTGTATATTTAATGTAAGAAGCAACAAACACAGATTTATAATTGTTCAGCTAGAAAGCATGATGTAAATTGAGAAAAAAGAAAAGTTATTGTATGCTAATGGTTGAAGTGATCAAAAAGACTGCTTAGGAGAACAGTTTTAATTTCACAGGAAATTTATCAAATGGTCCTTGTCTATTAATAAACGGGACAAAATGAGGAGCAAAAGAAATGAGAAAATTTTAATGTTTGTAAATGAAAGTTATATCTACAAAGTGTGAAAACTTTAGAGATATGAATTTTATGTTATATTTTGTGTTAAAATGCCATTGGTTTAAAGAGATCAACCAGTGAACTTGTTTGCATAACCCAGTGGTCAGAAAACTGTGGCCCCTTGAGTGTGGCTCTTCCACAAAATACCACATGTGGGCGCGCACGTACAGTGCGATTGAAACTTCGTGGCCACACTCAAGGGGCCAAAGAGCCGCATGTGGCTCGCGAGCCGCAGTTTGCCGACCACTGGTATAACCCATGGACATAGGGCCTGGGGGGAAGGCTGAAAGAGGTTAATGGGGGAAAACAGAGGACCTATGTAATAACTTTCAACAATAAAGATTATATATATATGTATATATATATACATATATATATGTGTATATATTTCTCTCTCTCTCCTTGGTTTAAAAAGAGAACTAATTTGGAATTTTCCCAATTGTGTACCAAAAAGATGACACATCATTCTTCTGTAAAAATACAAGACAAAGTAGTTAAAGAGCTGATTGGGTAATCACTACTTACATGACAAAATGTGGGTACAGCTCATTCCTATGTTTTGTCGTGGTCACTTATAAATTTACTTATAATAATATTGATCAATTCTATTTTTGTGTGGAAAATTATACAAGGTCAACCCATCCTTTGTCAAGGCATAATATCCTTCTGGACTGCTCCAGTCACTGCCCAACATCTCCAGCACGACAGCTTTACTTTCCAGTAATCTTATTTTTAATTCAAATGTAAAAATAATAATACTTAGTGTGATACATTCTAGTTGCATTTTTCTTTTTCTCTCAGAGTTGCATTTGGGAACTGCAATGGGTTGGCTGTGGTGGATTTTATACAGAAGACAGTACTGTTAAGCACGGGGACCATTGACCTATATAGATCAAGTGACTTATACCAACGACAACCACGGTCTCCTCGAAAAAACAAGCAGTTCATTGCAGGTAGGAGATAGAAAACAAGATGTTTACAAACTTGATTAAGTTCATCTGTTTTTCTTGCCTTTAGATTTCTTATCTTTCTTCTGTGATGCTGTTAAAATGCATGGCAACATAAAGTGAACATAATTTACGATACCATGTAAGAAAAGTTAGACAGAAACATAGAATCTTTGAAAGGGTAAATGAGATATTTAAAGTTAGGAAGCATCTCAAGTTTCTTAGGTTGAAGTCCTAGAAAATAAGTTGTTAAATATGAAAATGATATGAAAATCAGGCTTTCTAGTTGAAAAAACTGGTTTCAATTGTGTTAAAGAGGATAATTTTCTCCTAGTATATCTGGCCCCTTTAAAAATACAATTGTTAGTTAAAAGTAGTTACTTACTTCTTTTTTAAAATTAACTCCATATTTTAGCTGTTATTTTTCTTATTGGGTGATGACTTTCTAGGAGGTATTTTAACAAATGAAATAAACATTATTAATTAACATTTAAAATTCTACAAAAGATGACAGTTTTTTAACAGGATCAAAAAGTATAAAAGAAAAATACACATGGTTAATTAGGATTTAAGGAAAATACTTTCTGTATAATGCCAGATCATCCAAAGTTTTACTGAAATTTCAGTATATGTCCAAATAGTTGGCTTTGTAAACATTGTCAAACTTTTGTATATTTTCTGTCCACTGACATCATTCGGTTAAAAAATTAATTGGGCTAAAAGGCACACAGATGGAAATGTTTAGCCTATATAATAATGGATATGCTAATTAGCCCGGACACCTTAGCAGTCATGACCAGTCAGGTGCTGCGCTGCCCGGGAGCGGCCTGGTGAAAGTGGCCACTGGCGGGGGCGCTGCCCAGCCCTGAGGCCACCGGGCCAGGGTTGCGAACAGGCAAGTCACGCAGCCTGGCCTGGGAGTGGTAACCCCCCCACCCCCCAGCAGTGGCCACCTGTGGAGGCGTGAGCAGACATGCTGCACCCGGCCTGGAGGCCACTAGGCTGAAAGAGTCACTGGAGACTTTGGTCAAATTCAGTAGTTAAAATCACTATGCTCTGTGAGAGCTGACATCCTCAAACACTCAGGACCCTCAATCATACAAATTAATAGGAAACAATTGCATAATGCTTTGACCTAATTGTACGCACTTTAGTATCGTTTACAAATTATTCTACATCCTTCAAGTAAATTCAGCAGCTGGCTGAGGAGAGCCTGCGCTGAGGAGGCCCTCCTATCTTGAGTTTGTGGTTTCCAAGGAAACAGCCAGAAGGGATGATAAACCCTCAGCCCGTGCCTATCTAAGTAGCGGCAAGCCGAGGCTTGGTTTAAATCGAGCCTTTCCAGCCGTGCATGACCCCAACCCTCCCTGGATCAAGCAGGTTCCTGTGGAGTGCAATCTCCACGCAATACAACGGGGCCCCAGTTTCGTCCCTGGTGATCTCATGCGCGCATTAGCTCGGGGCAGCCGGGAAGAAACCCTCAGCCCGTGCCTATCTAAGTAGCGGCAAGCGGAGGCTTGGTTTAAATCGAGCCTTTCCAGCCGTGCATGACCCCAACCCTCCCTGAATCAAGCAGGTTCCTGTGGAGTGCAATCTCCACGCAATACAACGGGGCCCCAGTTTCGTCCCTGGTGATCTCATGCGCGCATTAGCTCGGGGCAGCCGGGAAGGAAGGGAAAAGGCATCACACGGGGCAGGTCGGGTGAGCAAGCAGAAGGAAACCATGTCTGGCGGACACTCCCCTGCCACCCCCTTCAACGTGTAAGAAGAATCAAATAAACCAACACAAACACCCCTCCCCCGCCCCGGAGAGATCCTGGACTGCGGGGCATCCCGCCCAGGCATTGCGTACCTGCTTCCCACCCACGTTATTCAAATGGACGGGTTAGGGCGTTAAGGGGAGGAGGATGAGCCTCCCAGGAAGGGGATTCCCTGGAACCACACCCCTGCCCTCCCTCTGGACCTGAGGGAGCCCAGAGCCTGACCCCGCCCCCAGCAGATTTGCATACCCCAGACCCTCCCATACTTTCAGGCACTGGGCATTCCCATGTCTTGCCTGCCTCCCAGCCACTGACCCTCACTGTCTCCTACCCCGGAAACACTCTGTTCTCCCCAACTTTTGGTCTTTATAGCCTAAATGCATGGTGGGTTTAGTTGCTTCTCCATGGATTTTATTTGATAAAAACCCAGCAAAGTCGCTTAGCAACTGAGCTGCTCAGACTTCATTAGGGACAACGAATGACACACCTTACTTGGCTTTGATAGCAAAGCAATTTTATTCTTTTATTTTTTTAAATAGATTTTTATTGATTTCAGAGAGGAAGGGAGAGGGAAAGAGATAGAAACATCAGTGATGAGAGGGAATCATTGATCAGCTGCCTCCTGCACAGGTCCTACTGGGGATCCAGCCCGCAACCCAGGCATGTGCCCTCAACCAGAATCCAACCTGGGACCCTTCAGTCCTCAGGCTGAAGCTCTAGCCACTGAGCAAAACCAGCTAGGACAAGCAATCCTATTCTTAAAGACTTGATTTTTGTCATAAACAAGTGGATTTGAATCATATTAAACCAATATACATTTTTTT